CACTTCCCAGACCAAGCCATCTCACCAGCCCCCGAAATGATCACACTCTAAGTAAGGCACTGATGGTTAAGGCTTGAATATCAGTTTTGAGGCACACAATTCAGATCCATAAGAAGGGTCCGACTTTCCCTCTTTAAGCTCTGTGGCTGGGTTGCATAAGTTAACTTTTCTATTGAACAGGAGCTTCACAGGGCTTCCAATGCTGACAGTAAAGAGCGGTGTGCTTGCTATCCTATGATAATCCCCTTCAGTTCCAGCACAGCCAGGAATAAATGGTGAACGGTGACGGAAGCAGAAGACAGTCTCTCACCAAATTTGACATTTTCCACGAAACAAGGTCATCAGAGTTCAGAGAAGCCTGAGACTTCATTGGCCACATGAAAGGGGCTGCTGAACTTAAGAGGGGGAAAAAGGCAGGGTGAAGAGAGAAAGCGCTGGAGAATGAAAAGAAATTCACTTATATTTAGGAATTACTTTGTAAACAAACAGAATCTCTCTGAATCCTCACAGCTCTGCTCAGTGGGTATTATTATGGTCATTATTAATATTTCCATTTTACTGATGAGGATGTTAAGGCCCAGAGTGTGAGGCTCACCTTTGTTGTTTTTAGCCTCCTAAGAACTCCTAGAACCCACACAAGTTAACTCTGTTTAGAGCTGCAGTTTTGAGATGCATTGGCATCTCCCTCCTCTCCCATCCTTCTGCTCAGCAGTGCCCTGATGGGGGTTAGAGGACACTGTGCTTCTTGCCTTGTGAGATATTTGATTATACTGTGTGAAGATGCGTCACTGTGATTGGTATAATGAAAAGCTAAATAGCCAATAGCTAGGCAGGAGATATAGCTGGGACTTCTGGAAAGAGAGAGCTCTGGGTAGAAGAAAAGTGGAGTTGCCAACCATACTCAGAATAAGCAGGATGGGCACAATGGAGATGAGGTAATGAGTGCAAGGAAGAATGTAGATTTAAAAATATGGGTTAATTTAAGTGATAAGTGTTAGTTAGAAACAAGCCTAAGCTAAGGCCTAGTTTTCATAACTAATAATGTCTCCATGTCATTTATTGTGAGTTGATGGCCCAAAGAAAATTCCACCTACACTGCCTGCTGTTTGTTTTTGTTAGTTGTTAGTTTGCTTTTTAAAAGCCAAGACTAGTATTATTCTTAATATTGCTGGTGGTATGTGGTTTTGGAGAACAGTTACTGTTCACTGAAGACACATTTCATGTGTGTTTTCTTCATGTGATGGTTACTATTGATTGACAGGAGCTGAAATCACCTAGGGAACAAGGGTAGGCATACCTGTAAGGGGTCATCTATATTAGGTTAGGCTCTGGGCTTTCCAGTAAGGGATTATCTAGGTATGTTCCATGACTGGGAATACCCACCCTAAGTTGGGGTGGCACCATTCCTTAGGCCCTGGTCCTGAAGTGATTATAAAAGAGGAATCTAGTTGACTGTGAGCACTCATTACTCTCTGCTCCCTGGTTGCAGGTGCAATGTGACCAGCTCCTAAGCTCCTGACACCATAACTTCCCATCATGGTGGATGGACTGTACTGTGGAGCATCGAACCCAAATAATAAAACCTTCTTTCATGAAGTTGCTTTTGTCAGAGTATTTTATCTATCACAGCAATAGGAAAAGTAACTAAGATAAATATCAATAGAAAAATATAACAAGGAAGACTCTGAAATAAACAAAACTATCTGGAGAAGCATATCAGCAACCAGTAGAATGGAGAAGGGATGCACATAAGGAGCTGGGGAGAGGTTTGGATGTGGGAGACGATCTACACCCCGATTCTGTTGTTGCTTTACTTGTGAGCACTCTTACCAGACTCTTTGTGCTAGTCAGTGTAGCATTGCTATAATAAGTGTCTAAGATAATTAACGTCTAAAGAGAAAAGGTTGGTTCTAGAAGTTCTAACCCATGGCTGTGAGGGTGCAGTTGCTTAGGGTCTGCTAAGGCAGAAGCATATCATGGCCAGAGCACACAGCAGAGCAAAAATGTTTACCTCATAGCCAGGAAATACCGAAGAGGAAAGGACAAGTATAACCCCACAGTCCTGTGTGTGCATATGTGTGCTGGTGTGTGCATGTGTGTGTGTGTACGTGCATGCTCTTCTCTAACTTAATTTCTGAGACAGGGTCTCTCACTGAACCTGGAAATGCCTATTTGACTGGCCTGGCTGGCCAATGCACTCCAGGGTTCCGCCCGTCTCTGTACCCTACCTACTGTCCAGCACTGGGATTACAGGCATGTGCCACCATACCTAGCTTTTTTTTTTTTTTTTAATATGGGCTCTGGGGAATCTAAACTTAGATCTTGATTGCATGACAAATACATTACCATCTGAACCCCCTACCTATCTTTCCCTCGCAATCATTTCTGAGGGTATGTCTCTAATGACCTAAAGACTTCCTTACTAAGAACTCCTTACCACCTCTCAATAGCACCTTAAGAGCAAGCCTTTATTTGAAGATCCAAACTGTCACAACCATCAACCTATACACTTAAAAGCAAGTGGTTTGATTGTACATAAGTTATTCCTCAATAAGTATATATAATTATGATATATATATATATATATATATATATATATATATCCCTAGAAACCCTACCATCAAGAACAGCCACTTAAAATGTTTTATGTGTTTTTATGTTGTCAGGGCACAGCCATACATCTATAGTCTCTCTCTCCCCTGCTTTTTTCTCATTCTCATACATCATGGAAACCTTTCCATGTCAACACACAGAATGCTGCATCAGCATTTTACATGGTACTGAGTCACTGGAGTATGATGTATTCCACCAATTTTGTTGAAAAAAATCTCAGGTTTTTACTGTTATAAGTACCATCACAAACATCCTTGTAACCCAGCTCTTTACTCATACCCTTAATGATTGCTGTGTTCCAGTAAAATTACTGAGTCCCAGGGGCTCTCACTTTTATAAGGGATGTGAGGTGTCTTTAAAAATTACCTTTCCTGGGGGCTGGAGAAATGGCTCTGTGGTTAAGAGCACTTGTTGCTCTTCCAGAGGTCCTGAGTTCAATTCCCAGCACCTACATGGTGGCTCACAGCCATCCATAATCAGATCCAATGCCCTCTTCTGGCCCGCAGGCATACATGCAGGCAGAACACAATATACGTAATAAATAAATCTTCAAAAAAAAATTAACCTTTCCTAAAAGCTGTCCCAATTTGCACACCTTCCATCCCCCTCTGTCTTGATTGCAGTCCAGTCAGACACCCACTGCTCCATGCAGACAAGCACAAGGTAAAACCTGCTGCTTCGTGTCTATGAAATCTCATCCCTTTAGCAGTCACCGAAGCCAGAGTCTCAGCCCTAAAACCACCAAATTCAAGGCCCATAAAGTGTCTGAAAGCACTCCTAAGGGAACATGCAGAACCCCAATCGGGGCAGGATCGCTTCCTGACTTGCTAAAGGAACACTGAACCAAGGGCCTGAAAAAAGAGTGTATTTTCTTCCAAGCTCAGGTGCTTTCTGCCTCTTATACTCACTTAACCTCTTTGGGCCAAACCTAATCTCTGTAGGCGCATCTCCCCGGTGGCAGGGATCTAGAAGTTGTACACACCATTTGTGGTGTCACACCTGCTGCTTGTTCCCAGCCTGCTGCGTGTAGCTTCATGATAGCTGTTTAAGGTGTTCAAGACCAAAGGTCAACCAAAAAAAAGAAAGAGAGAGAGAGAGAAAGAAAGAAAGAAAGAAAGAAAGAAAGAAAGAAAGAAAGAAAGAAAGAAAGAAAGAAAGAAAAGTGCAAGTAGTAACCCCGTTTGTTTCATACCCTCCTGTGAGGATGACAGCAAATAATGCAATCCAATTCACTGACACCAACCCTGGCCCTGCTTAGGAGACACCGATGCTTGGTGTCATGATGCTCTGTGATTCCCCCTTATACTTGGCTTCAGGCAGCAGAAGCGTTGAGAACAGTTCCTGTCCTATCTCCACTGGTATCTATACAAAGGGGCAGCCACTGTTCTTATTTCACAGCTGCCTAATGACACCAATCAACTGAGGACACACAGTCCCATCCTTAGGCGTGGTCTGTCTCCTCCTCCTGCCACCAGGACCACGCCTGAAAAAAAGAGCAGAAATTACAGGCATCTGATTTAAGGCTGTGTGTGTACACTACTCTCGCGCCAAGCCCCAAACCCTAGTTCTGTTTGCTGCATCAAAGAACCATCTCTGCTCCATCCTCCAGGCCCAGAGTAAGCAGCAATTTGAGACGCAGCCTCCTTTTATTTTTAGCCAAAAAAAAAAAAAAAAAAAAAACCAACCAACCCCAAAGCCTACATAGCAGCGCTCACCAAAGCCCAAAGCGTCTCTCACAAAGCTGTTGTTTGACTTCGGATGAGAAAATGATAGGCTGAGTTCTGCACCAAGAGGGGGGTGGGGGTGGGGGGTAAACGGGAGGAGGAAAAAAGGAGCGCCCCCCCCCCCTCAACAGCCAACCTCCATCCCCTTAAGTCCTCCCCCAGGCTTGGGTGGACCCTGCCTGGGTAATCGTCCCCTGCTATATTTAAAAACCACAGATGTGTTTGGAGGGGACTTAATTTCGGAATTTCAGGCGGCGTCTCCTGGGGACAAGGGGAAAGCTGGTGCTGAGCTCCCGACTGCTAGCTTCCAACTCTGGGGAATCCAGGTCAGGACGCGTCGCCTTCTCACAGCTGCTGCCTGTCGCAAAGCTCCAGGCTCCAGGGCTCAACGATTGGGTGGGTGGCCTCGGGGTAGGGCTTGTGTTCACCTTCGATCTTCCGGGGCTCCCTGCGTGCGAGGATCGGGCCCAATGTCCCTGGCCCGCCACGAAGCGTTGTGCAAGTCTCCCCTCCGTGAGCGAGGCTAAATATGCGCGGCTTGTCATTCGGTGTGGCTGTCTCCCAGCTGATAGGGTGACGTCGGGTTTGGAGGCTTGGAGATTGGCTTTTTGATTTGGCTTCTTGCGGAGGCTTAATGGGCAAAGCTCTAGGCTCGCCCAGAAACCGGCCCCTACGCTCGTCCCCTCTGCACGCTGCGAGGCCGAGACGTCTCCCGCGGTGACAGCAGGCGAGGCTGAGTTGCGCGCTCCCGGCCCCGGGAAAGCCCGGGCGACACGGCAGCCAGCCCCCTCCGGGGTCCCTCCGAGCCGCCAGGGCGCGCCGCGCTGCTCTCTGTCCCGCCCCTCCCGCAGGGATCCCCAGGCGAAAGCGGCCGGGACTCCCGGCCTTGCCCGGGCCACTCGGGCCATCCCTGTTCCTTGGCTAGGCGCTGAGGGTCCGCACTCCGTGCCCTGCGCCCTGGCCCCCAGCGCTGGAGCTCCAGATGCGCTGCCCCGCAGCCCCCTGACAGCTGTCAGCCCACGAGCTCCGGCGGGCGGCCGCGGCGGACTGTCATGCCCTGGACGCCGCTGCAGCCGGCCCGCAGCCCGCGGGGGCGATGAGCCGCTGTGGCCGGTGAGGAGCCCGGGCGGCGCGGGCATCGCGCACCTTCCTAGCCCGCCTCACTTGCCCATCGGGCTCTGGAGGCTGAGGGCAATCGGTGAGTAATGAGATGAGCCCTCAACCCACCCACCCCACCCCCCGGTGGGCGACAGAGGCAGGGGACACCAAGATCCAGGGTTTAAGATGCACCCCCACCCAAGAGGGTCCCCTGTGGAGAAGGATCATGATAAGTTATTTCTCAAGATCATTCTCATGCACTGCCTCCCTGTGGGTTTAGTGCCAGAAGAAGTGGGGGAGGGTGCCCGGGAAAGTGTACGTTGTGTATGCGGTGTTGGGGGGGAGGATCTGGCAGAGTGTCTAGGTGAGGGTGCTGGGGTTGCCACGAGAGATGCCTGTGAGCCATGGCACTGGAAGCGTGTGTACAGTCCTGTTGTGCGTTTGCTGACTTAGTGGAGGGTGCATCTCAATGGGGAATTTGCATGCCAGATGTGTGTGTGTGTGTGTATGTGTGTGTGTGTGTGTGTGTGTGTGTGTGTGTGTGTGTGTGTGTGTGTGTGTGTACATGTGTATCTCGCCAGGGCGTGTTGAGCTCCTAGGGCTGAGTGTCCACCGGTTCTGGGGTTAGGAGGGGGACCGCGTTATTCGCTCGGCGCGGGCCTGGGCATGCACACACACACACACACACACACACACACACACACACACACACACACGGTACACGGGCACACCAACCTTGGGACTCTATTGCCGCGGGCCTGCAACCGCAACCCCAGCACCTCTTCCCCTTCCTCATCCTCCCCACGGGCTCCTGGTCCAAGCAGAAGGCAAAGAGAGACTTAAATCCTGAGATTTCAGAGTCCCCCGTGGTCTGGGAGATCCCAGGCCTGTGGAGAGAAGTGAAAGTATATAACTAAGCCCCCCTTTTCCCTCAACACTCTCTCTCTCTCTCTCTCTCTCTCTCTCTCTCTCTCTCTCTCTCTCTCTCTCTC